AGTGAGATCATTTTTCTTTAAATTTTCACATTAAACAATGGGTAGAATTTTAACCTCTACAATTTGATCACGAAGCAACCTCTACAATTTGATCACGAAGCAACCTCTACAATTCGATACAATGCATATTTAGGGAAGCCTGGACTAATCTATTGCATAAAATTTGAACATTGTCACTTTATTTAGCTCTCAGAAGGGTAAGACGCATAAAAGGGCAAAGAACTGCTAGATAAATCTACAAATTACTGCATTTATTACCTAATCAACTGTTATTCAAACAAGTATTGGAAATCTTATTCATATCTCCGTTTTGATGATTTTTTTCCTATAAATGATCTTAATAAAATTTTTTTAAATTTTTTAAAAAGAATATTTGCATTTCAATAACAAGATTCAAAACTATCATCAATAACCTTTTTTATTATTTATAATTTTTACGATCTGCATTAATTGGGAATTACTTTTCACATAACTTTTTCAACTCCGTGATATACAGGCATCAGTTTACAAACCATCATTGTAAAATTCAACAGCCGCTAAAAAAGTTATTTCTGAAGTTTAATGTTCTTTTAATTGTAGAATGTATATATATTTTTAATCATAGATTATTCAAAAAAGAATAGTTGAAAAGCTACCAAAGATTATTGGCTATAGACCTTGTAATTCTGTGAAATGAAGTGACGAGGTTACCCCCTTGTGCAGATACTCTATTCTCCAAAGAAAAAGTCATTGTGAAGACTTAGAGCCTTAATATTTTTAATATAGAACAATCTCTCAACATAACGGATTTTTTACAGCACAATAATGGATTATATAACGTGACAAAAGCAATTTGTTTGCATTTCATATATGAATTCAAAAGGCACTTCAGTACATTGGAATAAAATTTCAAAAAATTACATCTATAAATGAGCTTTTCAGTTCTAAGTCAATAACATGCATCTAATTTTCTTCGTGTACCTCTAATAGCCATTGGCTTAAAATAAAACTCTTATAAGTAACAGACTTTTACTATATATCATCTGTAAGAAAATAATTACAGCTTAAGTGATGGGTTTTAACATTTTTTCACGACCAAGACCTAGTTTTACCTATTTTAAAGCTGTTTATTGTACTGCAAATTATAACCATATTTTAATTTTTTATCCAGAATGTCGAAATAAAACATACTTCGAACGCTGTTACGTAAACGGTTATGTTTAGAAAAAAAAGACCTATCAAATCAATTTGGCACCAATAATTGGCGAGTTGTATCACTAGTATTAATATGTATGTAGTTTATTATACCGTGTCATTGTATTTTCCGACATGTTACGCGTTATTCCAGAAATATAATTTTGTACAATTATCATTGTCAGAACATTTGAACAAATGAGAACAATGACCCATAAAACTGCACATTGATTTAATTAAATTGCCACATTGATCCAAAAAGTAAACATTGTTATGTATTTTTCTTATGATTTTTTTTTAATTTTACGTCTAAAAAAATTAAAATAAACAACTGCATACTGATATTTATTCTTAGAAAACTTATGGTCTTATAAGGGTAAAATGAAATTCAATATTTTAGAGAAAACAATTTATAATAATTTATGTATGTACAATTTAATAGGTTCTCAGACAGATATTCTCCTTCTCTAGGAACTCCTTATAATGTGCTCTAGTCATATTTGAAGCGAGTTTATTTTCTTGTTATCTCTCAAATGTTGAAAAATCCATAAAATCTGAAAGAAATACTTGAATTTAAATTTCATTTGCGTATTAAACAAAAATTCTTTAAAAAATCACAATTTTATTTATTAAGGCCTTATATCTATCATTCTCCTACAGCAATGTTTCTCAAACTGTGGTGAGTGAGTGAGTGAATGTTGGGTTTAATGGCGCAAGAGCCTCAAACTGTGGGACTCGCCCCCCTAGGGGGGGGGGGTGATAACCCTACTTAGGGGTACGAGCATATCGAAATGTCGAAAATGAAAGATTATTTTAAAATATTAATAATTTACTTAAATGAAGCAAAACAAAATATATCCTGACATAATGAAAAAGAATATACATTTGCACTGATATAATCTATATATATACAGGAGAAAAACGGCTCACTGACTCATTACGATATCTCCGAAACTATTCACCCTACAGACTTGAAATTTGGTAGGCATGTTCCTTTCATGGAGCAGATATCCGCCAAGATCTTATTTTGCGATATTCAAACCGCAAGGGGCGTTATCAATAATTATTCCCATTTTTAAACTATTAGACGCACAATCTTGAAATTTGGTAAGTAGATTCTTTTCATAGAGTAAGAACCTCTACAAAATAGGTTTCACGAAAATTGAACCCCAAGGGCCATTTGCAGGAATTAAGGGGCGTAATATATAAATATTTACGTTTTTAAACAACGAGTTCTACCTGCTTGAAATTTGGTAAGTAGTATCCTCTCATTGGGTAGAGATACGCTACAAAATGGGTTTCGTGAAAATTGACCCCCAAATGGCGTTGCGGAGCTTAAGGGGTGTTATAGATAATTATTTCTATTTTTAAACTACTGGACGTGTACATTCTTGAAATATGATAAGCAGATTACTTTCATGGAGTAAAGATCCGCTATATAAGGGGTCTATATATGCTATCTATATACTATCTACCTATATATATAAAAGAGAAAAGCAACTCACTCACTGACTCCTCACGATATCTCCGGAACTATTAAATCTACAGACTTGAAATTTTGCATGCAGGTACCTTTCATAGATTAGAGATCCACTAAGAATGGATTTTTTGTGAAAATAGAATTCCAAAGGGCGATAAGGAGACTTAAGAGGCGTTACACATAATTATCTCCATTTTTAAACTATTAGACCTACAGTCTTGACATTTAGAAAGTAAATTCCTTTCATAGAGTAGAGATCCGCTAAAAAATGAGTTTTGTGAAAATAGCCCCCACCCCTTCTCAAAGTGGCGTGTTTCGGGGGCTAAAAGGGTGTTGTAAATAATTATTTCCATTTTTAAACTATTAGACGCACAGTCTTGAAATTAGGTAAGCAGATTCCTTTCATAGAGTAGAGAAACTCTACAAATATATATATAAACAGTACATATTTATAAAACATCATGGAATATCCAGGGAAGCAAATGGGTAACGGCTAGTATACTTATAAATTTATCAATACTGCTAAATTTAGAAGCCCAGTGGCTGAATGGTTAGTGCATCGCGCTTCCACACCACAGGTCCGAGGTTCAATCCCCGGGCTGGGAAAGGTTGACTCAGCCTTTCATCCCATCAGTGGGTCGATAAAATGAGAACCAAGCTTACTTGGGGACCAAACACTGGGGGTTTCGCTTCAGGCTGACCACCTGATCGGAACATCTGCTCATGCACCCCAGCGCCCAATGGTCACGTATACTGAGATGGGCACAGTAGGCCTTGGCCCTCATGGGTTGTTGCGCCACTGAGTTTGAGAGTTTGCTAAATTTATTTAATAGTTAGTTTATCTATACTAAGTTAATAACAAGTTTAATAATTACTAATGACTTCCATGTGCTTGTCATGTACAAAATTTGATACTTATCTTACCAATTTGTATGGTTATAATTTAAGTCATATTGTAACTTAAGCGTCAAAGTATGTTATTATTGCACTCAATAATCATGGTTATTCTGTGGAGGGAGCCACGATGAAAATTATAGTTGAAAATTGGGTTGAAAATATTGAGAAGCATTGTCTTATAGACATTTTTTTTAATATCACGATAGAACTAGCAGCCTAAAAATGATCATATAGGTAAGATTTCTTTAATCCTCGATCGATGACATATTTCCGGCTTTCTTCCACAGATCGCCCACCAACCTTTGATTCAATCTATAACTCGCATCTGTAATGGCCGAAACGGTATATAGCCTTTTATTGCAGCCATTTGCTGTCGAAGAACTAATACCGTGGCTATTAATTACATCTTTATAGATGGGAGCCAATGAAATACGATGCCTCTTTCCAACGTCTCACGCACTGTGACAATACATAAAACCCTTTTAAGCACTCTTTAGACGTCATCTGTATTCTGAGCTCGCAGCCCTACCAAAGAATCTTCAAGGAAGGACAGTCATTTGTGATCGAGAGGGGAGATTCTCTTTTTTCCCCTTTTTTTGTCCCTTTTATGCTCTTGAGAACTCGAGGATATTTCCTCTTCTTTTCGTTTTAGTTCTCTTTTTTTTTTGAGAGACAACAGAGCACGTAGAGCTGCTTTCTTGTATTCAGCACCGGATCGCGTAAAGTGGATTTTTGGATCTTTCTATTTGTAGATTGTTATTTTTTTTGTGTTGGACTTCCTGCTTATTTATTTTTATTTTGAAGAAAGGGAGATATGAATACTTGATTATTGTGATGAGATAATGAGTTTAGAAAGGAGAGAGTTTTGGATACTTCATTGTTCTGTGAAAATAAAATAAAGAAATCGTCACACTTCTTTGTTGTTGTTTTTTTCAATTTCTACAATTAGTTCACACGCTCCCTATATATTTATTTATATATATAGCATAATAAAACAAAATAAAATAATAAGAGATAAAATTGTACTTCCTATAAGGCTAAAAAAGAAAGGAATTGGATTTTCAGAAACATTTAAAAAATAAATGGTGCAAATGAATATCCCACTAAAATTGGATAAATACAGACAAGACAAGAAACAGAGTTGTAGAGCTATTGAATTGGAAGATACCAAAAGAGTCTTTGAAATAAAGTGGAGACTATTATCATTTCTAAAGATGTCACTGAAATAGGCCAGTGATTTAAAGTTAAGTAATACTTTATGGATCTACCTTCCCCGTATAGCAGAAATTTTCTACATAACATAAAAATAAAAAATAAAAATTATCGATTAATAAATATTGATAAAAATATATTAATTCATTAACTTAATTCAATGAATGAATAAATAGTAACAAACAAAAATAATATTCCAGCACCATATATAAAAAGGAAAAGGGCTCGTTTTGTCCCTGTAGTGCAATAGATAGCGTGTTGGACTTATAATCCAAAGGCCTAGGGTTCAAATCCTACATGCACCCGCTCACATGGCCCTATCTGCCAAGCAGTTACTGACCAGCAAAAACAATACTGTGGTTAAGCATCCTCCTTATTCACCTGATTTGGCCACATGCGTCCTTTGTATTTCCTACAGTTAAATCTTGCTTAAAAGGAACCCATTTTACCTCAGTTGGAGAGGTTCAGGCAAAAAATGGAGAATCTCCTGTAAAAACCTTCTAAAAACCTCGTCCTAGAACTGTCACCACCAATGGCAGCACCGAATGCAGAAGTGTGTGAATATTGAAGTGAACTACTTTATAAATGTGATACTGTCATTAAGAACTTACTCTGTACGTACAATGATTTATTGGAGCAGAGTCTCGTTTTGTGTGTGTGTGTGTGTGTGTGTGTGTGTGTGTGTGTGTGTGTGTGTGTGTGTGTGTTGTGTGTGTGTGTGTGTGTGTGTGTGTGTGTGTCACACCTCGTATATATATATAAAATAATTTGAGTATCACAATTTGACGAGTGTGAAGGATTCCTTAATTAGATCATTATTTATGATAGATTGATGTTTTCTTTGGCTGGGATTGACGAGGCACTCCTGCAATTATTTAAATCTGTTTTATTCCACATCTTGAAACACATAAGCATGTTAAACATAAAGCATGGAATAAACAACACAATACATAACAAAGAAAACGAATACACAATGAGCTGCAACCGGCTACATGTTGAAGGCAGATAAATAGCAGAAGAGAGAAGATAGAGCGGTCTCCAGAAATCTCAGGATTTAGAGGCAGCTCAAATCGCAATATCTGAGTGGGTGGATAGGTGTAGTTCAAAATACTCTCATTAGGTGGCTGGATAACTTATTAATAAAACGTGGGTCCTGAAGGGATGGACCATAGGTAATTAAAAGTTATTAAAGAATAAATTAATGGAGATTATTACATATATATCCTTTTATAGTTTCTGCACTCAAATAATTTCCTAATCCAGACTGATTATTCATCAGTTTATTGATTAAGAGATTACCATCACTCGTCTCTGTATGCTGCAAAACGTGTGCTATTAGACATGGAATCTGTAATTTTGAACCAAGATCAAGTGATGAGGATGACACCTGAGCGAATCGCCCTTTCCAAACTTCCACACCTCTCAAAGCTTAGAGTCTTCAGCGGATTTAGAGTGAATGAACCTCTCTACTCGGCGGAAGATTGTGCATTGAACAGATAAAAATGCGATTCTTAAAATACAGAAGAACTATCAAATGTTATGCATTTAAATTTAATTGTAGTTTTATTTATCGAATTAATTTGATTTTACTTTGGCTTCTTAGACTCTGAAAATTTACTTTGCTTTTTTATATAAAGAGATTTTAACCCGTTAAACTTCAATGGATATGATTATATTTTCCCAACCTGTGTAGTGGTTAGTGACGCCCACTGCAGCAAGGTTGGGTCTGGGTTTGAATCCCGGAGAAGCCATGGATGTTTGTAAATGTATAGTGTCTTTTTGTGTGTGGCATGGGGATACTCAAATTATACGAGAGGTGGGAACCCCCTGACAACCTCCCGATTGTTCTCCCTCAAAATTGGGGTGGAACCGAGCAAACTCGCATTGTCACCTGTATGGTGCTCAAAGCTATGGATAACGAAAGGCATAAATGTAGCCCCTTGTTGCGATGAATTTTGTGGGCCTTGATCTGATGTTACTGTTGATCAGGTGGCATAAGTAACAACAACAACTGTGACGGATGTATACGCGGCTCTACTAATCCCTTCATGACTCTTTTAGGAAAATATTTATTTCAACCAACTTTCACCGAGTAAGTAAGCGTGATTATGTAAATGAAGTACATTATATAAATTTTGTTTTCGTGAGTTTGTGAGTTGGCACGTTGGAGTTGGCAAGTAGGAGTTAACATAGGGTCTGCGAGTTAGTTGTTAGTTGAAGATCGAAAGAGAGTGGAATTAGAGGTCTTGGGGTTGTCCAGGAAAAAGATTACAGAGCGTGGATCCAACGACATTGCTCAAGCCGCTAAAGATCACCTGCAAGTTTCCAGTGTAGGATCCGATGCCTAAAAAGTACAGGTATTGTGCGCTTGATTAAGTAGAAGTTAGCTTATTAGTGTGCGACGTAGTTATATTTGAGCGTATTTAAGCTATCTTAGATTCAGTTGAGGGTCTGTAGTAGTATCCCCATGTTATAGAATCTCACATCCGTGCTCTACTATTTACTCACCTACCTTAATTAGATTGTTATTGTGTCTGATTGATATCTGGTAACAATAAACTAATTAGATTGAAATCATGTCTGTGGATCATTCAGTTTCTCCCACACACCTAGCCGGGTTTACAGGTAGACAAGAGGGTTCAGAGTCGAGCAGGAACAGACCGCTATCACACAATTTTTTAAAGTGATTCTTTGTTATTCATAAGTGCATTTTGTTTGAATAGAAGGGATGCTTTCTTAATGTCACACAAAATTTATATGTACATCATTTTGACAAACAAACTATACATTATTTTTCAATTCCTACTCTATTAGCTCACTCTCTCTCTATATTTATTTATATTTTTATTTATCTTGTTCAAATTTTCAATCGCTAATAAAATGTTTTCTGTTCATCCAATCAAGTTCAAATAAATTTTTTTTAAATTTGTAGTGGAGGATACTTGATGTTAAAATAGTTTTTCAAATATTAACTCATTAATTAAATTAATTACCGGTTTTTGATGGAAACATTGATTTATCTAAATTGTTGTAACAATGTAATTGTTAAAACAATGTCAGAAGTTGGCGACGAAAACCTGTTCTTCAGCGAAACTAGCGAAACCGGGTGTGCATTGTTACAACAATGCAGACAAAACATGCTCTTTTTTTCAATTCCTACTATTAGTTCGTTCTCTCTCTATGAATTTATATATATTTATTCATTTATGTATATATATATTTCTTATATACCTTGTTCAAATTTTCAATAGTTCATAAAATATTTTCTATTCATCCATTCAAAGTAGGATTTTACTTAATTTTTTTTATATTGCTTGTTACCAATCATGAATAAATCGAAATTCCATACACAACTAAGATTTATAAGAAACATCGTTTTATTATTCAATTATTTTATTAGTTTACCTTTTCAACAAATCTTAATACTTAAAATATACCTTGAAATAATACTAATAGTCATAATCTCTAAAAATAAAGATGATAAGCTTATGTAAAGCTTGAATGTATTATTTTTGCAAAAGTTATTTTCTGTATTGGCTCAGGCACTCAATCAGTATATGAAACCACTCTACTCGAATTTAGAATCATGCTAAAATTATATGGATGATACCGAAATATGCACATTATTGTCCAAACTTCCATTATTACGCAATATGAGAATTTCGAAGCTCAGTTTCATTTTACATGCAGAAGTAGCAGTGTTTCTGCTTGACGGACATTTAGTAAAATTCTATTCAATCTACTATTTGATATTTTACAAAGGGGCTTACAATTTTATTCCCAAGTTTACTGATGTCCAACCTATTCTTAAATGAAAAAAAATTTGGAATTATCATAACCCTTCAAATATAAAAGAACTCATGAATTATTGATTCATATGCATGTAATAAAATGTAATTACAAAAGTCCATTTATTGTTCATTAAAATGAATCGAATTTTTTAGCCAGAATTTCAGAACCCACCCAAAGGGCAAAGATGTTCTTTGGTACATATATGAAAGGTAAAATAAAATAAAATAATTAATATTTATATTACGTACTGTCCAAAAAAATAGTTTAGATATTTAAGCCTTTTTATGGTGAAAATTAATTTATGTTAAAGAAATTAAGCTTCACTTAATTTTGTTAAAGAAATTAGAATTGAGGGACATTTATTAAATAAATATAAGAAAAATATCAGGTACATTTAACAGTTTATTTACTATTAAATTTAAGAAGAAATGTCTCAAAGTAACAGTATACGAGATAATGCGGAAGATGGGAAAAAGCTTGGGTTAAATTGTTTTGACGCTGG